TTTTTAATTAATCATTCACATTTTTAATTAAAAAGCAGTCAGCAGTGAACTTACCTAAAAGCTCAACATGGATATATCTGACCCAGTATGTACCACCCTTTTGTTGCCAATCACACTGTACGTTCAGGTCATGCAATCCATCTCGATCCAGTTTAATAACTTTGCCTACATCTCCTTCACAGACCTCCTCATAGGTTCTGCAGCACCTAACCATCATCCCCACCTAGGGAAAAATGACAACAGAATGCAATAGCTATGCAAAGACTTTTGTACCAAAAGGAAAGTAGTTTCAATATAGCTTTTGATCACCATACTTACCTGAATATTCTCCCTCACATACACAGCATAGTCATCATTACTTAAGAAATCAGCTCGTTTCTTATAGGTCTGGCTCTCTGTTACAACAGCACCACTTGACTGAAAAAAATCCAAAATAAATATGTAAGAATTACAAAATTGTTTTCAATTCAGATAAATAAAACTGTTAGCAAAGACTGAAGATAACCCAACAAAAATAAACACGTATAATACCCAAGTTGCATGCCAAAATGGGAAAAAACTTCAACAGGTTCAATTCACTATAGGGGTAATATTTATGATCTACTTTACTTTAATTTAAAGTTACTTTCTAAAATTACTTGTCTAGGAATGCAGATGCAGATTTTCAAAAAGGTGTGAAACGAGCTGCAAATTGCTTTTATGAAACCTGATTGTCAAGAAAAATCTGAACAAAGTGGATTTGTCAGTACTCAGCCTTGAAGATATACATCCACTTCTTGGGCTACTTGTTGGGAAAAGGAAAAAACAAAAAAACCAGTGGTAAATGGTAATCTCTATTTTTTTTAGATAATACAATGAGATCTAAAGTATGCCTTTAGAAAAACAAGCTAAAAAAGATGACACGATAGTTACCAGAAATTATTTCTTTCAAGATTTGATTAACTTCTTTAAGAGAATCAGAATGTCAAGTTAATTTCATTGAAAATATAATGTACTTCTTTCAATTACAAAATCCCACATGTGCAAGAAAACTCAACATAACTCCTTCAAGAATAAACAGAAATATGGAACCCATTTCATTTTATTAAAAAAACGTTACTGAAACAGTTCCTGAAAGTCAACAGAAGAATAATACAAATTCACATTAAAGCTATCACACTCAACAGGCATTGTAAAGGTAATTTTATCACCAATAAGTGAAAAACGTTTTTATAAGGAAAAGACTAAGTTATTTAACAGACTTTTCGGCTATTTATTCACCAATTTCTCAGTCATTCCTTGTAGCTAACATACATTTGTTTTTCAGACCAAAGGAAAGGAGAGGGGGGAACTCCTTTACAAAACACTGCACTATAGCATCAACTACTTTTGAAGAAACTAAGAGCATCTATCAGGGATACTTATAGCTACCTCCAGTGAAACATCTACCTGCATTCCGTTCTCCCCTGTGCTACTCACATATAAAGTATTTATAGATTATTCTCAGTTGTTTTATGACATGCCTTAGAAACACAAGGCAACCACGATCCTTGTTACTGTCCTGAAACTTTGGGACAACAGAATGTCGCTGTACTCTCCCCATTTTCACAAAAAGGAAAGAATTACAAAATTTGCAGTTAGCTAGCATAACTTAGGTTTAATACGTTGATACTTACCACAGGACAAGCAGCTTCAGCTTCTTCCACCTCCTCTGTTATTTCCTCATCTGAATATTCGTCAGAGATAGTGTCAGCATCAGAGAGATCCGTAATTTGAACATCGGGGTGATCCAACAACCAGCCAACTAAGGCTTCCACTCCTAATACAGAAAACAAACTCAGTCTCCAAAGAATTCTCTGACATTCTTAAGAAAGCATCCAAAAAAAGAATAACAACTGCTACCTGCTAAGAACTATTTTAATCTGCTTGTAACTTTCCTTCTCCTTCTAATATTAATTTAACTAAATAAAATACCTGGTAATCCAGAAGCACTTCCAGAGGTTCCTGACAGAGATTTTAGTGCAAATTCTATGTTTTTCCTAGGAAATCCCATTTCCATAAGTTGAACTACAATGGGGAGGGGTGGAATTGGAGATTGTTTGCGTTTCTTCACTTTTGTGGGTCGGATATGCTGTACTGTGATGGGTGTTGTAGATTCACTAGAGCTGCAGTCTTCAAATAACGGAGTTGAAGGATGTGTAGACTCTACAGCCAGATACTGGCATACTGCCAAAGCAGCAGCCTAAATGGGAACAGATAAATCAGTCCAAGTAAAGCAAGCATATTTAGTATGTCTGTGTGTGTGCACACCTAAAATTAAAGGTTATTTGCCAAAAAGGGTTCAGTGTCACTTTTTAAAACTTATAGTCTAAAATGTTTCAATTAAGATGTGAATTATAAGGGGTTATTTATTAGGTTACTTAGCAGAAAACACAAACTCTACCTCAAGCTCCTGTTTGTCAAATATTGCTTTCACAGGTGATGGTTGTGTAGCAGATGACAGAAGTTGCTGTAAAAGGATCATGGGAGGCTGAGGTCCTTCAGGAGACATATCTCCTATGTCGGGAGAGGCAACTGCTCCATCCTCTTGAAATAAAAAACATTATTTTAACCAAAACCATGCAACATGAGTCAATCGGGAGACTTACTCTGAGGCCTCCTGGTTGATGAAGTATACTGTTATTTTTCACATATTTCTTCTTCATAGGAATCATGTGTTTAAGATTAAACCATGTGTCACAATCTCCATACCAAAAAAAGCAAGTAAAAAATATGTAGATAAACAGTAAATTTACCAAAATACACCTAGAACACGTCTAGCAGAAACTACTCAGTGGAGAGTGAATTTGCATAGGTATCTTCTGAGTCCAACCTTTTTGCAATAAGATTATTACCAAGAGATCCTTCTGGGATAAACCATTTTTTGTAGAAAACCAACAGTCTCAATGATTCCAAACCCATGGTACATACTTCCTGGATTGGGTTATTTCCCCCATGATACATCCCCTAGCAAAAGCTCCCTATGGGAGCCCACAGTCCCTTCAAAAGAGGATACTTCTTTTGAATCCGTTTGCTCACAATTCTGCAACTTTCTCATTTAATGTCGTATTCTTGTTGGCATAAATGTTCATATTTCCTAGATATTTTCTGTGATTATCTCAAGAAAGCGTTCTCATTTTTTATTAACTCCAACAAAAGAAAGCCTTATTTGAAACAATAATAAAACAGTTACTAGTCCTCATGTAGTTATGCTCTTCTGATTAAAAAAAAAAGTGTTAGGGTTTTTTTCCCCCTTAAAAAATGATGGCAGAAGTAAAATCACGTTGCATTCCTAAAAAAACCTTGATGATTCTGTTGACTTAAAATTGTGCAATTGACAAAAACCCGCAGAAATATAGGAATAAAGCAAATATATCATAATATTTAAAGACAGCACATGTTTCATAAATGCCCAAAAAATTAACATAAACTTTAAAGTTCTCAAATAGCTATCCTGAAAGCTGACAAAGTTATTGTATTTATTTTTATATGTAAAATGCATCTATAGAAGATCTAATTCAAATTATTAGAACTACAGTTCCTTAAACTCCTTTTGAGATTATTCTTAGGGCACTGTATCCCAATACTTGTTTGACTGGAAACTGCAAAACATTTGAAGTAAAAGCAATAGCCAACTGAGAATTCATACTTTAGGCTTTGAAGTAGAAAAAGAAACCACTGCAAAAAACTTTCAAGTATTTTAAAATTACTTACAAAGCTTATTAACTACAGAAGACCTACAAATTTAGCTAATGCCAGTATTTCAAGCTTCAAATAAGCTTCAAAACCAAAGTTAAAAAGTCAAAATGCTTTTAACATACAATTTTAATTTAACATTCACAGATTTTAATTTTTTGTCTTTAAAGGGCAAACTGAAATTTCTACCCTCCAAATGCCATTAGCAAGGGTTATAGTCATACACTGTGTCTACCATCTAACCAAACAGCTGCAGAGTCAGGTTGCATTTCAGAATACCTGCAGGATTTAATGCACACTCCTGAACAGCCGGCTGAGATAAGATCTGCCTCAGTGTATCCTGGTGAGAAAGCAGGGCTCGGCCTGCTTTCAGTATGTACAGCTTTAATTGCTGGCATCGCAGTAGATCCAGATCAACTTGACCTACCAGAAATATTAAGCAGCCATTAGTGCTAGGAATCTCTTGTATTAGATTAGAGAAGTTATCATTCATACAACCTCAGTCCAAACATCAGTTTACATCTTAACTCACTGTGCAAAAGTTTGTGAAATACCGATGATATGAGAGTTTGAACAGCACATGGATTGAAGGTCTGCACACACTGTACGACCCATGATATTAAAAACAGTGCCTTCCTACTTTTCACACCCTGGACAATCATGCGGTTGATCGACAGCACAGTAAGTGCAGTTAAAATGTTATATGGATTCAATATTTTAAACAATTCAGTACAAGCAGTTCAGCCCCTAAACTTACTTACATTTTCTCATCAAAGTAAAAAAAGATACTCCACTTACAACGCAGAGCAATTCATCTCCTAGCTAAACTTGTCTCCTAAGTGCGTATTATTCAATGTTGACTAAGAAAAAATGTAAGGTTTGAGGAAAATCTTTTTCTTATGTATGTTTGCTGTTACCAGTATTTTCCCCTGAGTATATCCATCTACTTCCAAACAAAACAAATCGTAAGAAGTCCCCAGTTGTACCTGAAAGACCCTGATTGGGAGATTTCATTCTTTGTTTTTCTATTTTACTTCCAGCCAGATTTACTAGTTGAGCCCAAATGGATAGCATAGGTTCAGTGAAAGGCAAGTTGTTCACATTAAAAGCCACAACTGGAAGCTAAACAGCGAGGGAAGAACCAGACAAAACAAAAAAAATGAAGGTAAGCGTTTTCCTAAAATCCTACAAAATCATTCAAAAGTTTCAACGGTTATTAACTGAAGAATAAAATTAGTATTTGTCTTACTGCTCTTGCCAGGAACAACTAGAGAGGATTTCTATTCCCTACACAGCTCCTAAGCCTGTATTTGTACCACACAATTGCAGGTCTACATGATGAAAAGGCAGGACAGTGTCAGAACAAGGAAGAACTGTGGTCTCTGAAGCAGATCAAGCACTTGGCCCGTGCTTTCACTAATGGCATATCAATTAAATCAAGATTCATATGAAAACACCCAAGACTTTCTACATTGATTAGCAAATCAAGTTAAACGCAAATAAGTTCCTCTCATGTAAGAGCTATAAATCACATTGTAATGACTTGGGATTTTACCTCAAGTCAAAACATTTTAGCCGTCCCTCCTCCTTTCATCTCCTCAACAAGTGAGGATGAGATTTAAAAGGCCCTATAGAGGTTTGCATGAGGACCATTTTAGATGTGCATTCTAGCATCGTATGTGTTCAGTGTCAATGTATTTATCCAATGAAGAATGTCCTCTTTGCACTGTATCAGAGATTTAAACCTTACCCTTCCCAGTATTAAAGCCTCAATAAAACAAACTTACTGGTTTCAGCTGATTCAGAGGGCACACTCTACATGTCCGCATGTCATAGAACTGTACAGTGATTCTCCCTTTTGGGGTGATGCGTGTCACTGTGCCTTCTCCAAATTCATCATGAACTACTTGTCCACCTAGTCTCAAGCGACTGTCTATGCCACCAATCACAGCCAAGACTGCCATTAGAGCTCCCACCTCTGGATTCTCAGTGTCAGGAAAGTAGTCATCCAACACAGCCTAAAAAAGAACAATAAAATTTAACTGTAGGGAGAAAATATATACTTCTATCTGCTTTAAAATACAAAGTTAATCACAAATAGTTCAACTTAAAAATTATAACACAAATATATATAAAAATAGAAAAATGGTTTCAAAATTAAGCTTAATATTGTTTACAAATATTTAGTGTTTATAATTTCAAAATAAATATTGCTATAAAAATGAGCTTATTTTAAAACGTGGAAACTACCCCTTCTGACTGTTTTCCTGCAAAGATGTGGGTGATGGAGGTTAGCTGAGAGTTGATGTACTTGTTTATGAGTCCATTCCATTGGCTGAGCGAATGGAGCGTCCTCAGCAGTGCCACTATCTCTTCTGCTAAAGTACTACTATGAGTGGCAGTTAGAGATGCTTGGGGCCTGGCCTTTCTCCTTCTCAGAGTAGATTCTGGAAAGACAAAGTAATTGCACAACAGTTACCGTTTAATGCACACATTTTCCATACATAAGAATAAACCACTGAGGGAAAATTCCTCTACCTCTGAGTAGTGGGATATCTGAAGAACAAGTACTAAGTAGGCTCCCTAAAAATCCAAACAGTTTTTCCACAAGAAATTTCATGTCTCTTGATCTTTCATTTTTATCCCAGGATGGAAGTACTGCTTTCAATAAATGTACAGCAAGGATCTAAAAAGAGAACAAACTTAGTGTTATTCTATTCTAAGTCACCACATATTAAAGAAACTTTCAAATATATTGAGTGTAGAAGAATGACATTTTTAAAGTTAGCTTTCCTTTGTAGTTCTTTCTACAAGACTGATTTCTTTCCAGCCGTGGAAATTACAGAGCTACTGATCTTCAGTTTACTAAGGGATATTTTAAAAGAAGTCATGACAGTTCAGAGTCAGTAACAATTTTATTGGCACGTTTTATTAGTGAATCCAACCTCTTCAATACTTGGGGCATGAGACAAACACAACGCTGGAAAACAATGTAAATTACTAAAACACATAGGAAAAATCAGAATACAAAATGGGAAGGTTTGTTCAGATTCCAGACTCAGAAATTAGTACTAAGATATATTTCAGAATGAAAGTTTCCAAGTGTTCTGCAATGAGGGTATAATAGTTAAAATTCATGAGATATAAAGCTGAATGGTAGAAGACGACAGTGACACTCAAAAGTAGTCCCTGTGAAACTAGGGCCTCTGACACAGTACAGAGGAACAGGCTGGCATCTCTATACCTAGACAGTGCAGGATTAACAAGGAACAGGGGAAGGTGCAGCACTTCAGTATCAAAGAGCAGATGCGGTTCCATAGTCTGAATAGAAGCATTTCAGGTTTTGAGTTTCATCATTTTCTACCCAGAAGACCAATACAAGTGACTAACAGTGAAGAGAACTCACTTCTTCTAAACTTCTGTCAATAACACATCTTTCTAGAACTCCTAGAAGAGCAACGAGGCTGGTGAAGGGACTTGAGCACAAGTCCTATGAGGAGAGGCTGAGGGAGCTGGGGTTGTTTAGTCTGGAGAAGAGAAGGCTTAGAGGCGACCTCATCACTCTCTTCAACTACCTGAAGGGAGGTTATAGCCAGGTGGGGGTTGGTCTCTTCTCCCAGGCAACCAACAATAGGACAAGGGGACATGGGCTCAAACTCTGCCAGGGGAGGTTTAGGTTAGATGTTAGGAAGAAGTTCTTTACAGAGAGGTTTATCAGGCATTGGAACGGCCTACCCAGAGAGGTGGTGGATTCACCATCCCTGGAGGTTTTTAAAAAGAGATTGGACGTGGCCCTTAGTGCCATGATATAGTAATTGGAGTTGGATCAGGGGTTGGACTTGATGATCTTGCAGGTCTTTTCTAACCCAATCTATTCTATGATTCTATGATTCAAGGTCTCATCTTTTCGTTGTTATTAAGTTAGGTGCTGGTACACGAGGAATGGTCATTTCTCTGAAGTATTCCCTGAACTGAACAGATGACTCTACTGCACTAAATCCTGGGTGATGACAGAAGTCCCAGCATATGAAAAATACTGGCAAGAATTTGCTGGAAGATCACACAAAAATGAACAGGCCTTTATGATACAAGGCTTCAGTTAAAAAATGCTGATGCCTTATCAAGGAAAAGATTAAGACTATCTTTAGATCCCCAAGCCTTGACACTTGGCAGAGTTATTCCATAATAAGGTTGCTTTTCAGTCTCATGAAAAAGGCACTAACAAGATTTTAAGGAATGAAAAAGAAAAAAGAAAGAAAAAAAGAAAAAGAAAAGAAGAAATAAGGGGAAGAGGACAAGGGAAATACAATACCAAAATAAGATGCAAAGATGTAGCTTCTTAAGAGAGATTATAATTAAAATAATATTAGCCGTTTACTATGGAAGGAGGGACAGTAGCTAATACACAATCGCATAACTTCTACTAAAACTGCACATTTTTCCAAGCCATCTTCTTGTTATTTTCTTTATTCACCATCTAGGAAACGTTACATGGGAGTTTCTGGAACACACTTTCAGAACACTCTTTTGACCTTTTATCTTTTTTCAACAGAACAAGGGAGTCTGTAGTACCCTGAAGGATCAAAACTTACGAGTGTATATTTTAAACAATGAATCCTCGACATAAAAAAATGTTATTTCTTTTAATTAACTAAAAACCGATTTAAGGACATTTCCCATCTGTTCTTTTAAAATACACCTTTTTTTTTAAGACAACTAAAGTCTACTAATTTTATTGCCTATCAAAGTAATTTGGAAATACACACATTACCTGTCTCTGTAGTGAAGCAGCAGTGAAAGATTCATGCCCCTCAACAATTTTCATTAGCAAAGTTATCCACTGAGATGTACTAAGAGTGCTGCACATCTGAGGCATGAGTGCTATGCTTCGAATGAATCCCAACGTGCACCAACTCCTATGCTGTTCTTTATAAACTAATTTATTTGGCAAGGAAGCTAAAAACAAAAAGATATATACATGTAACAGTTGACTTTTCCACCAGCTACATCTATACACTACATGGGGCTCTCTTGGACAAATCAGAACACTGCGCTACTCCACTGTCTTTACGTGATCTACAAACTTCAGTTTTAGAGCCTGTACTTAATTTTATTAAATATGTCTTTAAAACAATTCTCATCATTATACTGTTTTTTCACTTGAAAGCAGTTAACAGCATTACTTCTGAAATTACAAGGAAGCTACAAAAACGAATATGACATAGTCATATTGTTGTGTCAAACAGAAAAAGGCTGCTAAGAAATTAATTGTCTAAGCCAACAATTCATATCTCATGCATTTTTTCTGCCTTTACTGTTTATGTTCTACAAATGCTCAAGATCACTTACATTATCTTTAACAATTAAGATTTTTAAAGCTCTGAAAACGCATTTTCTAGCCTTTGGCCTTAAAGGATTAAAAACTAGTAACAAAAGATTTACAAACTTACAGGACAACAAAGCACAAAACAGAAGCACACAGCTGAATCAGATTGCTTCTATATAAAATACCTGATTTATCTATTGTTCCACTCTCAACAAGCATACGGAGTAGACCACACAATGTCCTAGTAGCATCATTTTGCATGACTTCAGCATGGACACCAGCAGAGAGACACAGTGTCTGCAACAGGTTCACAGTACTTGTCAGCATCATGGCAGTAGGGTGGAGATTCCTTTCAACTTGTTCTCCTTCTGAAGAGAGACACAAAAGGCAAAGGAATACATTAATACTGAGTTATTTTATTTCACAAAGGTTCCGAAACAAACATGATGTGAATCATTTGTTGTAAATATTTTCTCTGAGATGACTTGAATAAAGGAAGAAGACCCTTTATTTCCAACTGCAAGAGCAAAATCTAAGCCAGATATTTTGTGCATACATTTTCAAGTTATTGTCTAGCAACACACAGTTTAAAAGAAATTCCAAGGGCAGTGCCACAAATAGGGAAACAGTGTGATTAGATGTATAATTAGGTCATATAAAAAAATCAACTTTAGAATGGCATTAATATACATTAAAATGTATACCTCCTGGTATCTCTAACTGAAACTATTTCAATTTAATAATACTATTCTCTTTGGCCCATGAACATGCAACAAATCTGATACCATCCTTTCTATCCTCCTTTATCATAGTGAAGTTACATTAGGAAAAATTCTGGTCAGAAGTGTACACCTATTAAATGAATCTTCATTGATGAAGCATTTGCTCCTGGTGAAAGAAATATTTTCATATTACAAGATATCAATTTTGAAATTTAACTAAAACTGTGCCTCCTTTTATTAAAAAAAAAAAACTGTGGTTTTTTTTTTACCAGAATCATCCTCGGTGTCTGAATCTTCTGTTGTGGGTTGCGTTGCAGGTGGTGGCTCAGCTAGTTTGAGATCGTATTTTCCCTCCTTTCCCATTCTGTAAGAATTTGTACTTCCAGTGTCCCACTGAACTCTAATCCAGCCATCTTCTCCCAATTCTCCAATCACACGACCCAAACCTGGTGTGGGTCCATCCTGACAGAACAGAAAGGCTCAATTTGCACAATCAACAACACTAATTCGTATCCAAAGTGCATAAAATAATAATGCTGTTTCTTGCAGCTAACCTAAGGATTAGGTAGCAAACATTCAGTAATGTTTCAACATCTGCATGAAGTTGGAAAGCATTTCACAATCTACAGAAGAAATCACACCAGTAAACTGTGTGTTTAGACACTCATGTTTAGATCTATTTTATCTATCACTTACATCTTACATAAGCAGTAATATGTCCTACAGAGTTGGAAATGTATAATATTGTAGTAAACAAATGATCTAATTTCCTTGTAATCAGAACAGTCTCCGTAAAGGGAATTTTCATCTCCAAAAATGAAGCTAAACAAATAATTAATATATTTTATGTTAATTCTACAAGTCTTTTGTGGTAAACGGTCAGAATTGCACAGTGTTGCTTTAAGATGGTGTAGAATGAGGCTGGTTGGGAAAAACATGAGCTGGGCCTCTTGCTTCTCCTGCACCTGGCTCAAGCAAGGCCTAACAACTGAATGATGTCTGGAGCAAAGCAGAGGTTTCATGCCCCAGTGTTGTTTCAGTGAGGCACAGAGCACCCACAACTCTGTACCAGCCAATAGCCACACTCCCTTCTCCGTGAAAAACAAGCCTTGTTATAACTCTGGTTCACTAAGGAGATGCACACAAAGATCCTCTGATGAAGGTCAGAATCCCTGCTGCCACTTCAGTAACATGGAGGAGGACCAAAGTGCTTATTCTACCTCTTTTGTCAACTATAAATTCTGAGCAAAAGTAACAAAGACCCTCATTAAGCCCTATTAACACATTAACTTACACACCCCATGGGATGCAGGTGAAGGAGAACATGGGACATGTAACACACGTATGACCAAAGTCACCAAACCCCATCTATAATGGAACTGGTTCCATTCCACTGGGACAGGACAACATTTTTAGTATAAAAGGGGGGCTTCAGAGGCAGAAGGGTGAACACAACTCTGCCTCCTCAAGATCTGGTGACAGACTGTGTCTCTTCTCCTGAAAGGAAGCCTTTAGGTGATCTCTGTGCTTCCAACTGTGTTGGAGCACACCCAGGCATATTCATGTTTTTAATATATATATATATGTGTGTGTATGTGTGTGTGTGTATATATATGTATTAGATCTCTCTTACTATACTTTCTGTCTCAACACATATTAATACTCTGTAGTTAGTGCATTTATCACCAGCAATCCTGAATCTGCTTTTCTGGTGCTTCAGGGGTTTTTTTCTGGATCATGCAAGTCCTTACTGAAACAATCAGACCTACAGTATTGCCTTGGTAAATGCACTATTTGTGCATCTGTGCTTGTGCAAGTTCTTTCAAACTCAACCAGACTTATAATGCTGAATTGGCTATAACCAGAAATTAAGTCCAGGTGCACCCAGCCCCTCTGATCTCTAAGGAATGCAAGGGAGCTTATTTTCTGCTAAATTCCCATACCCTTAATTCAACATTTTTGAAATGTAAAATGACCCTAAAGTTTGAATGACCAGAAACTTCACAGATAGCCCACTGAACAGAGATTTTAGATTATAATGCACCCAAACCTGTATGAAAGAAGTTGTACCTGATCACCCCATTTCCAGTCTACCCCTCTCACCACTCGGGTACCAATTTTCATCATGGCTGCCAGCTCTGGTCCAGAAACAGGGAGCTGAACAGGTGTAGTTTCCTTTCTTGACTCTTCAAGGACCGTGGCAGAAGCCCCATGAGAAGAGGTAATCATATCCTCTTCAATGTTGTCAGAACTGGGTCCTAAAGAGGCAAAAAACATAAAAAAAATTAAAACCTGCTACAAGTTTTCAGATGTACCTTTGTCACGCATAAACTTTCAGACACATAAACTTTATAATGTAAAAGCAGTAATAAACAGGAAAAGTTCACTGAAGAGGTGATAAGTCAAATGACCTCTTAGAAAACTAGGTTTTGAATGCACAGGAATTTAAATACTTGAGCTTGAACAAAAAAAATAAGTGACAAATAAGAGAGACATGAATAACGATGATTCAATTGGCTCAGTGGGTCTACAGATTTTTTTGTTTTTTAAATCTGCAAGCACTCCAGTTAAGTCACAGGAACAAATGTTTGCTATTATCTAAGAAAACCAAAAGAGAAAAAGCACAGCGATGGGAACCACCGCAAAACACCCCACAGAACTTCCCATAGTAGAAAAAAGAAAGTTGAAAGCTTAAATATCCAGGCTGGGAATGTTTTTTAATGAGTAGAACAAATGAAACAGAGTGAGTAGAGAGCAGGCAGTTTCTAATGTTTTCATTTTAAATTTCCATTTTCAGTTTATTTGTAATGTTTCCACCAAAACTACTCTATAACTCAAATTTTAGCAAGGGATGGCCAAAGCAAAGGCTTAATAAAAAAAAAGTTGTGACTGAATAAAGGTTACAGTTGAATTAACTTTCTCAATCACACTTACAGATGTGGCTTTTATATAACAGTAAAGGTAAATAGCATTAAGCACTATCTTTAAGCAGCAAAATCGTTCTGTAATCTGGGTACACCAACAGGTAAAAAACAAAAGAGATTTATAAAGCACATGCTTTCTTCCAAGTAAGGAACAAGAAGATCCTGTACCTATCAGCCGCAGTGTTGTTTGCGTCAACGCCAGCATGCCAGAATTCAGGAGGAGGCTCAAGGTATTTGCACCATGCTGCAGTGTCAACATGTTGAGCATGACCAGCAGAAAACGTGCCTGCGGAATAGTCCCAAGACTTGGTCCTGCTGGATTCTCATTAGTAATTGTTTGCAGAGGAACAGGCTGTAGACCTAATTCAAAAGTTACATAAATAACAAAGTCAGCTCATATTTGGGAGTTACAGTAGAATAGGTTATTGATTCATTTGATTGATGGTCTAAAACATTTTTTATTCCCTGCCTGGCTTTAAGAACTTACAAACTGAAGTTCCAAGAAAGCTTTTATAATGGTAAAATATTACTAATGAGTATTCAATCACCTGCTGCCAGGAAATCATCAACATACTCTTAAACACTGAATAGTGAGTTAACATGGGGTCAAGGTGGGGGGGTTGGAACAACACACAAACAGAAAGTCAAAGTAATTTTCAGCACAAAACAAAGGAAGTGATTTTCACATTCCAATTATTGGGAACTTTAAAAAAAACCCCAAACAGCAATATTAATTTAAAACAGTTTTCTCCCCAGATGAGAGCAACAAAATGAGATTCACCTAGTTCTTTAAATTTTGCATTAGCATCTAGCAGGATGTTCCGGACATTCTGAATAGCCCACGCATACAACTTTCCAAAAGTTACTTCTAACAGCATTCTGTTAAATGGTGGGATCAGATCGACATCCTTCAAGCAGTCAGTAAGAGGTTCCCTTCATAGAAAAACAACAACAACAACAAAAATAAGCTTTTTTTTTTCTTATTGCAGAATTGTGAAAGCAAAAGCAACAAGAAGTTTTACCCTATATTGGCTCCTTCTGGAATAAGCCTCTGCCATCCACAGAACATAGCATACTGCACAGAGGGCAGCAAAAAATTTTTAGCTGCCAGTTTCAGAATAGTATCTATTCCCTCCAGACGAACTTCTGCTCTTTCCAACTGTGGAAGAGAAGAAATAAATTATCATACTTAGGTAAACTGTTAATATGTGCAAGCCCATTTTCATCCAGTTTACCTGTTTTAATAAACATTTTCTCATTTTTTCTACATCCACCGGCTCTTCTTTAAGTGCAAATTCAACAATGGTGTTAAGGAGGGCAGACTGTGGATACAAGCCTTGGACATTTTGCTTCAGCCACTTGTATTTGTGGACAACTGTAACTGTACTCAAAAGTGGCTGCCACTTATCCTGTAAAACAGGAAGGTAGCATGTTTAAAATTAAATTGTTTGAAAAGTTTTAATTACTGAAAATATAAGTTATTTCATGTAAAACCATGTCCAAACTTAAAATAATAGAAAGGGGGAAAAAAAAAAAGGAAACGTCTTCAGAGCTCAGAAAAGAGCTTGGTATTATTTGGAACTCATTATCTAGTTTACAATTGCTACATAAAATTTCAAACGCATTAATATTCAAAAAAAGACAAAGTAACCCATCACATTTTATTTTGAAATGAAGTTTTATCCAAGATTACCAATAATCTAAAAATTAGAGAAGGTATCTTTACATATGCTAAATACACAGTACAAGCTTATTTTTAAAAATTATTCCAGGTTTCACTGAAACAACATGGCACACTTAATTATACATTCCAAACACCATTACCAGAACATTAAGTGCCAAGTTATACCAATCATGCTATTTTTTCTTCTTGTTATTTTTATTCATGGGGTTGATTTAAAATCTGATATCCTACCTTGGGTGATTTGATTGGTATGGGCTTTTTATCTATAGGTACAGGACTGTGAGGCACCACACAGGATTCTTCTAAATCACTTTCTTCGTTTCCAATTTTGGATTCTTCTACATCAGCAGATTCAGATTTTTTTGGCACTATAAAAAAAACCAGTATTATTCTTTCATGTAATTTGATAAGATTTTCCACTGTCACATTTTTAGATATTCAAAATAACCTAAGCACACAGAATTTTTAAGATCTGCCTTTAATAAAATGGAAATGCACTCTTGGTGAACTCCATGTCCAACTATTACCAATTTAACTCTGGTATTACCTGCAATATGCTTTTACCTTTAAAGACCAACTTCAAAAGCACTTCGGTGTCTGTTCACCACATTAATTTATTTCCAGTTGAACAGTTCTTTGACTACACTGCTTTAATAAAACACGATTTCTAAAAAGATGTCACTTCCAGTTAAACTTTACGAAAACCAAATCAGAGGGACTGATACTGAAGGATCATTTTTAATATACTGGAACACAAAGAAACATACCTCAAATAAACTTGACACTTGTTTGCCAGTTCCTGCTGTAGGAACTGTCATGCAACCATTGGTTTAGAAAACTTCAATAAAATGCATCAGAAAGCAAATGGCTTCAGTGCTTTAACTAACTAGAGCCATAAACAGCAGCAAACCTTGAAATAAGGTAGATTTTCATTTTTTCAAAGAGAATACAACATTAATGCTGCCTTACCTCTTTTTTTCCTTTTTTCTCTAATGATTTTCTGAGCTACCCTTCGCCATCGGGGCAAGGAACTAAGAAGTTTAAATTTAGACATTATAGAGAGATCATTGCAAACTGCAGGACGTAGTTCATTGAATAAGAATCTCAAACGCTCAATGACAGGAGCACAGACTTCCTTGTAAGAACGACCTTGTTCTTGATGGGTCTAAAAAAGACATTGAAAGATAAGGTTATTGTCTAATACACAATAAAATGAACAATATATAACTTTTTAATAAAACATTTCAAGTGGAAATTAATCTAAACTTCAGCAGCTAAAAGGCTTACCTTAATCAGTGAGCACTTTGCTTGGTAGACAACACGACACACATCCACTACAGATTTTGGTAAGGTTTTGTGCTTTACTTGGTCAACTCCAAGGGTACCAGGATGAACAAGAGACAGTGCTACGTGACCTTAATAGGAAAAGACAATCTCTGAATATGCATTTCCACAATCATCCATAGCAGAGTTTAAACTGATCCTAAAAGATACACCACAAGCCTACCTACCCAAATCTTCATGCTTTAGAAGACAACATAGTAACAGACGTCCTACTTCTTCCACAGGATGCTCAGGAGGGAACGTGATCGGTGTTGTTAAGTGACACTGTTTACAGTATCTTTCTATTTGACACAAGAAGTCCTACAAAAACACACAACAGCCTCTATTTAAATTTGTTTTTAAAATGCAATCAAAGGACTCAAAATACTACAGATAGCATTTCAGTAACACCAAATAATCTCCACCATCTGAACTAATATTCATAAGTGAGATACAACACACAGTATGCACTATTTAACACACAGCAATTACAACCCAGTACTACAAATACCCTTTATCCTTCTTCCTATATGAAGAGCAACATGGCTCAAGGAACAAAGCTACTACTGCTTTTATCTCTTTGTGAGACAGTCAGGTCACCTAAAACAATTTTCAATTGTCTTCTGATTCATTATCATTATCCTATGCTCCCAAGGACTTATTTCGGGTTTTTTGATAAAGGAGATGAACTCAAAGGGTTAGAAAATCTGACAGTATTACCGAAGACGGTGATCAATGAAAATCTTAGAGGTTTTCATATTATCCAGGTTTCCAACTATGTGAAACCTGAACCCCAAGGCACAGATGGATTTCTAAGACAAAGGCATACATGCACCTGATACAAAAAATACATTTGCACCTTGACAAAGAAAATTCCATCTTAGTTCAACTGGACATTAGTGGGATCTGTCAACGCTACTGAAACTTGACATGGAAAGTAATGCACTGTTAATTTTTTTTTAATTATCCCTTGCAAAAAATCTAAAGAAAAAAATGTACTGTTACACTATTAAGTGAAACATACAAATTTTATCCATTAGTAGTACTCAGCCACTCCTTTCATATAAAGTCATTCTGAAAGAACTTTTTCAATTGTTTTGCTATAACTTTTGGAGAATTTTCACCACCATCACCCTTCAGCAACACTTTTTGTGCACAGAACTACTGAGGGCTTACCTTCACGGTGTGATCCTGAATATTATTATCCGCAATAGCTTGGAGGAAAGGTTGTGAATGGTCACTCAAAGTTAATCGATGTGTATATAGTTTTGATTTATTTGGGGTAGTGTTACCAGGTGAACTGCAATGGTCTTCATCTTTTTCCTCATTGTAACTGTAATGAATCTGACTAGTTTGCAAGCCTCCAGAAAAGATAGATGACTTCAACCATTCTGAAATAAAGAAAATAGGAGTGTATATTCTGATCAAAGACTAAGCTATCAACAATTTCCTCTAATAAAATGAATTCACAGCTTCAAATAAGGTTTAGCAGCTCTTCCATTTGCTGAAACAAATTAGTGAGATAACTGTGCTATACAGTCTCTTTTCTCTTCCAATATTCTATGTTGTATACTATGAAATTCTGGATATTTAACTGTTAGAAAGTATCTAATCCCCATCTAAATCTTGTAAATTATTGGATCTTGATGACTGTGGTAATTAATGTTAAGAATAAAAAACTTCTGCAGAAGACAGCAAGACTAAAGAAGATTTGCAGTTAATTTATTTGTCCTTTGTTGTCTTCTTGCATGCTTTCACAAGTATTTATCACTTATTTAAGCTCAAAACGAAGTTCTGCTTACTGGCACATTCAATTTCCAGAGGAGAGAGCGGTGTGCTCATTGCCAGGTAGGAAGCATGCAGTCCAAGGAGAAGACCCAAATTCCGTTCTGTGTCTATTAGAGGTGATGACAAAGTACTGAGATCTGGTGTTGTAATCACCTCCTGGTCAGGCTAAGTAAAAGAAATCAGAGTTGAAGGTAGAACTGAGCTCCAACAAGAATTTTGAAAGCAAAGTAATACTTTACTTTAGAAAGGATTTACCCATTAATAACATTTTTACCTCTATATATTGGCCAACACAGAAAGCATGCATGGATTCCCGTGTGTCCTCAAATTGCAGAGCAGCTTCCAAAGCAACAACTGGGTCCTCACCTGCAAACTGAGCTAATGAAAGAATGAGATAGTCAATATAATAACTAAAAATCTAATATAATAACTAAAAATTTGTTCATTTCATCCAGTCTTGAAACAGAAGTAATCTTGTGTCTTTAAGTCAGATGAAAATTCTCACCAAGTATGCTACTTCCAGTTAAAGACTGGGTTTGGAAGTCCTTTATATCATACACTTTCCCATCGATCACTGTCCAAAATCCTCCATCTTTGTTATGGTTCTCTAGATCAGCCTTACGTATAAGTGTCACCTCCTCATTATTTCTGCAACTCTGGCCAGTAAAAAATGAACCTACAGGTATAAAGGAGAGAATTTATCAACAGAAAACCAGAAAGTAAGGTTTTTTGTGAACATTCTTTTAATAAGTGCCTAATTGAATTCTTCACTTCTGTTTAAAGGTTGCTTAGTTTTTGATATGCTCAAAAGTCAAAATGGCTATTAATATGTTCCTGTCTACATATTATGCAATTAAATTGTCTGTATACTGTGTTCTTTTATGCACTAATCTCTAATGTCACACTGTCAAAGACCTAGCATTGCCCAATTATATGGCTGTTTTGTGTGGAGGGGGAGCAGAACAATCAGTGTTCTGGCAAATCACTGCTCTAATCAGTTCTTCACCCAAATTCCTTCAGTTTTATTACTCACTTGCCTGCAAGGCATTTGCTGTATATTTAGTTTCAGTCTAAATGCAGATTTTTTTAATATAAAAGAAGCTTCTCTTTTAACCACAGACACAGTTCATATTATAAAGCATACCGAGAAAATAAAAATTCCTTATTTCAAAGCTTTCATATTACTCACCCTTTATGTTACAGATGGAATTTAGTAATAAAATGTCTAGATGTACTACTCATGTTTTCACTGCAACTTTTCACACTCAAAATGCAAAATTATGTGAACTACTTCTTGAAAAAGTTGCATCTGTACTCTGCTTATCCTACCTCTCTATATGTAACTTCCTTAAGAATGTACTGACAGAAATAAATACTGCCATATGACTGCCATACAACTTAGTTAATAAAAATTGATAAAGTAAAATTCCCTTCCTGAGAATAGTTCATGAACAGTCACCATTTTTATGTAGCTACTTCATGAAAACATAAATAAACACCCCAGATGCTACTGGTACACACCCATTATTCCTGGCCATGCTAAATCCTCATTGTCATCCCTTTCCTTTCCAGGGGCTAAATGGTTAAATCTGTCCAGATGTTCTAGCAAGCCAGCCAACAGAGGGATAGCACCAGCTTCCTGCATTAATCCAGCATTTTTACTGAGGAGAAGCACTATAGAAACCACCAATTCTGGAAGAAGAATGCCTAAAACAGAAAACACAGAAGATACATTTAGTTCAAGATTTACGTTTATTGCATCACAGAAGTAAATCACCATCAATATATTCTGCCTTCTATTACTCTTTAGCACAAAGCTCTTGCCTTCCTTCTCTCCCATCAATCAAAACATTAAACTGCCTCCTTTTTAGTCATTTAGAACTTTCAAAAATATCTGCAATATAACTTTAAAATTCCACGGAAGGGAAGAAAAGAAGGACAACAAAACCCACCTGTTAAATCTCCATCCACAACACGAGATACTTCTGCAAAATGCCTATGACTAGTAGAAGCAATGCTGGTTGCCACAGGAAGTATATCACCAATGTGTGTGCACAGAAGAGCAGCGTATTTCTTCAGTAACGAACCTACACCTAAGAGGTCGGGACCTACGTAAAAAGGAGGAAGAGCACGGAAAACCATCACATAGTTATATATAAGTAACAGGCTTCAAAAACTTTCAAACTCTTCTGAAACGATGCCACTCAGTACTAGCACTAATTTAAGAAACCACATATTTTTAAAAATTTATGGCAAGTTTATTATCTAGACCCTTTTATCTAACAGAAAACAATTTAAATAAACTACTTTCCAACACCGTTCAGACAGACTCAGCAACTAGGCTGATAAATGAGACAAGAAGATAAATTAAAGTAACAAACTGGTATTCTGTAAAAGTTATTATATAAATCTGTGGGGAAAGGGTAGGGTTTTTTGGTTTGGTTTGGTTTTTTTTAAACAATAACTTACTGTATGTATTAGGGACCTGTCCAACACAATCTGCTGGGTAAAGTTTACTAACAAGCAGACGCTGAAAACGGAGTAACAGATCCAGAGAAGCAGATCTCTCCTTGCTATAAAGTTCTTGGTCCATGCAGGAAGAAATGCGACGAGCAACATCTTTTAGTTTGGCTATCGTCTGTGAAGCTATGTTCCTAAATGGTATAAGAGTATCATAAAGGGAGCTCAGAGTGAGGACAGTCCACAGAAACATAAGTTAAGCTTTTGCTAAAATTTCACACAAATATGTAAGAAATCTATGCAAAGTTTCTTCATAGAATGTTCACTTCTTCACACTGTAGTACTCAAAAAGTCAGTGGTTTTGTGGATACAATTTGTTTAAAGGGATTCGTAAAATACCAAGTTTGTGTATTTTGTCATCACCCACTACAAAACAGTCTGACAATTTTCACTGAAAGGCTGCAATGAACGCCATGACAATACATAACTCAAAACAGTCTCAGTATTGATTAAATTACATGGTTGCCATCACAATTAAGTGAAAAAGCACAATAAATTTCTTGGTAAACTCATAATTACTTCCTGCTTATACATGCTACATGTTAAATACTCCTCTAGCTGACATAAAGAAGCTTTGTTCTCAGCACACTATTGGTTATGCATTCACAACTCTGAGTCGAGAATTTAAAATTCAGGTTTCTTCCCCACTTACAGCTCCAGATACAGTCTCCTTGAAGCAAAATATTCAGTTCTAAACAAACAGGGCAAAACATTCAGTTCTAAATAAATTCATGGTGATTCTCCTACTTTGTAAGGACAGGCTTTTGAACAATTGTCCTATATTTGGTACAAAAACTTTCAGACTAAAGGAATAAGTACTAAAATCCATTAAAGCATGGCAGTAAGTCTTTCTAAAATTGGGTAATTAAGTATAGAACATTGCTTCTTAACAAACATAAAACAGCAGAACTACAGACAAGTTAGGAGAATGTTCAATATTTTGAATTCTGAGGAGTTAAAAATGCTAACAGGAGACCTTATTTGCTAGCCAAAATTAACCATCCCTTAGTGGACTAGTTCATAAAACATCTAAATACATCTTCTGTACAAAAGACAAAGAAAACTTCCAAGCAATTACCTTAGTAACTGCTGAATTAACTGAACTAATGGTAAACTCTGTTTTCCTGCAGATTCATAGATTCCAGTATTAATAAGGTCTTTGTCCAATGGAGTTCTGCTCCTATGAAGCGTTGATGCATTTGCTTCTTGTTCATCAATTTCTTTTTCTTTCTGTGCTTCTTTTTTTGCTTCAATATCCTAAAAAACCAAATCAAGTTAAAGAAAACGTACAAACTTCCACTCTGATTACAAAACATTTTCCTAACAAGTATCCACGGTAAAAAGATCAAGTTACTTTTACCTATGCCAGAAATGAAACACTTCCTAACAGACAAAACGTGTATTGCATATTCCGTAACAACCACATGGGCACAGTTTTTTCAAAGCGATTATAATATAAAAAGAAAGGGGAAGGGAGGAATGACAGGTTGTAAAGGCAAAGAAGAGTAGAAAAACTCCACAAAACCGTGATGAAACCATTCCAATAGCTGCTGCACAGTTCACAACTGAAGGCATATTTACTCTGTATTTATAAGAGTAATAAATCCAGTACGCCACAAAAGAACCTGAACTACAAAGCTGCTGAAACACACCTGAATTTCTGCAGTGATAGCAGCATTTAGCGCAGACTCTAAGCCTCCATCAGCCATCAAGCTGCCCACCAAGAGGTCAATCATAAATCTACGTCCTGGGCTTACGTTCATTTCATTTCCTGAAACTAAGAGCAGGAGAAGCTATTAATGAACTCAAAATGCAAGCACCAAACGAATAGGTTTAAATCTCAGGACCAACCTGCACTGGGTAAGAGTGCTGAGAGCGCCCTAGCCCGCTCTTCCGCTGTTGGCAGTAACACAGACCATCCACTCTGCAGCACTGCTTGAGCAGCCGATTGCACTGTATTAAGGACCCCAGCATTGCTTGCCAACGTTACCACAGTCTGTTTCAGGCTATTGAGCAGGATACTGCCCAAACCTAAGCCAAGGCATTCTGGATCCACCTGATGACTAATGGCAGCATGAAGCTGAAAAAAAAAATGGGGGGAAGCAAATTTTAATTAAGAAAAGATATGAACTTGGCAAGGGTGGGGGAAAAGTCAATCCTGGAGCAATTGAGTAAGTTCACTGACCAAGATACAAATTTTCATCTACAAATCTAACGGATCTGGCTTCCCAAATGCATAGTACATTTAAACCAATACTCATAAATTATGAACAGTAGCTGTGAACCCTGAAGTTCTGAACTAAACCTAAAGAATAACCTAACTTGTTTCTACCTCACTACAACTATGTTAGAAAAAGCAGCACATTTTCAGTGACTGTCAGACACCAATTGAAGAGGACATTCACTCTCAGAAATGCTATTTAAAAGTCATAGAAATGTTCAAAATCTCTGAGTGGGTATACAAGGCCTATTCTATTTAGATACTGTTTTTATAGTTCATTTTTAATGAAACCCAAAAGCTGTCAACAAGAAAAAAACCACAAGCATTAGATGCCAAATTTCAGAGTAAAAGCAATAGTGTAATTATTTCACTTTTTAAAATCAATAGAAGTGTTTTAAAGCACATTAAATTTACTATTTTCATCCAAGCAATTTACTGAAAACATTTAGCTCAATGACTGCTCAATGCGTAAGAAACCGAAGGTACCTGAAGCCTCAGAAGATTTAATGTTGCCACAGCCATACACTCCTTTTCCTGAGGAGGGGGCCAGTCAGAGGATCCATCCATTCCCTCTGTCACTTGTCTTAGTAGCAGATCTAATTGCTCAAATGTCATGGGGCAAACATCCACCACAAAAGGCACCCGCAAGCCTATTGACCATTCTGAACATGATGACCAAGCAAAACTCTATAATTGAAACAAGAGACAGAGTTCCACAGTTAGTTATTTCCTAAATACAAGATTGCACTGATTAGAGATAGGAGTGTAAAGCTAACATCTGCCTTCAAACAGCAAGAGACAATGCAGAAATAATACCAGCACATCTGCTGAAGAGAACCCTCCACTTGCATCCTTGGAAACATACATAAAACCCTACCAACCCAGAACTCTCTTATCAAATTTTCCAAAGTGCTGGCATGCCAGCCCAGATACCTCACTATCTTTGCTGCAGGAAAGTCTGGTTGACAACTCCTCAACTGCTGTACCAGACAAAACAAAGCAGGTAAACAGCTACTTGTCAGAATACCCAACAGAGGGAAAGCTAGTCACCCCTTTTTGGCAGAAGAACTGCACAAGATTTTTTTTTTCCAAGTCTTCATTTATTTGGAATAAGAGTAAAAATAAGAAAAGTCATGCAAGCACAGAAAAAGGGATTGGGATTAGAGTACAGAACTAATCTCAGTGGGAGACAAAATCAAATAATTCAAAAATAAAACCTACCTGAGCAGGCCCACAAGCAATTCCAACTATATGCTTTGTGTCTAATCCCGGGAGAGCTGCAGGCTCTGGCTTGGTGATACGCAAAGTATCAAAATGTTGACACTGATCATTGCTCCCCCAGCTATGCACTTCGCTATCTTCAGTCAGTGCTAAACAATGGGTAGATCCAGCTGCCACATCTATCACTTTTTTTCCTGAAAGTTCAAATATTGAAAATATAACTTAAACATTACAATTATTGACAGAAAAATATCAGAGATAAGGAAAACTGCTAGTTGCAACCATACTTAACATATTATGGATGTCAAGAGCCTCACCTTTCCTCTAATAGTGGATTGGAAGAGTACAGCAAAGGATAAACCAAAGAAATATTTTAAGATTCATAAGAGATAGCTTAAGTACAAAACTTAACAAGTTTAAAAAAAAAAAAATCAACTCTGTATCTCTTCTACTTCAAAACCTTTTCAGGAAATATTTATTAAAAGATCTCCCCATCTATGATGAGAGACTGTAAAGTTATTCGTAGTCATTAGTTCAGAAACTATTTTCAATTAGATCATTCAACACATATGAATAACAATTTCAGGAAAGACAGAGAAATAAAAAATGTTTCTTCCTCATCCTCCCCCAAGAGAACCCAGGTTTCTCACAAATGAAAGAAATACTCTTCACTCTGCTACAAACTAGTCAAAAATACACAACTTCAACACTACTTGTTGTCTGTGATTTTCACTGATTCCATTCACATGCCCTAATCTAAGCATATGATATACATTTATTTGCACGACAATGCAAAAATACATGCTTTAAGTAAGCATTTCGGTGAACCTAATAAAAGAAAACCAGTAAGAATAAAGAGAACACAAGACAAGCAACATTTAAAGTAGTCATAACAGTGTCTCTAGGTCTGCTAAAATGTTAAAGGCATAAATGCAGAAATGATGGGAAACGTGCACTATTACCTTTTCCAGTGCAACCAGCATCAAATACAACCGAGTACATGGTACCAATCACACTTAAGTTTAGTTCATTTGGGTCCAGTAAAAAACTCCACCAACAGCAAAAAGAACTTTGGAATATTCCCAGCTCTGATAATTACCCTTCAAGCCTTCCAGCAGTTTGGGATATCGAACATGCTCTTCTGTCCCATGCCCAAGTCTCTGACTGTCACCTTTTCCCCAGGTGTAGACCTGGCCATCTTTGGTTAATGCAATAGAAAACTGACTCCCACAGCGAACTTTCACAATGTCCAGATCTTGAAGTTTTTCTATCAACTTGGGAGTCTTACAACCATCACTGCCTCCTCTTCCCAGTTTTCCATAATCTCCATCACCCCAAGACCACACTTGACCTTTAAATCAAGAGAAAGAAAACAAAAAATATTGCACTGCTTTTTTATGTAACGACGTTATCTGTTTTGACAAGTAAGTTCTTAAAAATCTGAGATTCTGTAAGAAGCACAATTTTTAAATTGTTTTTCAAGAATAGCAGTTACTAGTTAATTTCTAATTTTTTTGAAAAGAAGGAAGAATAAGATTTGAAAAGTTTTCATGTTGATAAAACTAAACATAAAAAGTGTAAGAAATAATATGCACTGAAAATTCATCAGTGTACTGAAAGTCCTTCTTAGAAACACATGAAGCATAGGATTTACTGTATATCAAGCAAGTTAAAAACTGCTTATTTATAAGAACTTGCAAAATCTTTTCCATATGAAACGGCCAAATTGTCTGCAAAACCTGTTTTAATTTTCATTCAAGCATTTCTCAAAATGAAACAAAGACTGCCATTGTCCTACCATGTTTTTTGAAATACACTACTAAATCTAAGTCCTGATGTAGGAACTTAGAAATAATCACACCATTTTGTACCTGCATTAAATAAAATTACGGTCCAAAAATTGAAAGCCACACATGTCCAAAAGGAAAGCCTTGTTTTACATTGTGATGCATTGTGTTCTCTACCTGCATAAGCAAGTCCCTAAGGTATTCTGATAAGCAATGGAAGCACGCAAGGCAGAGACCAAAAGGAAAAAAACTGGACAAAATCTGGGTTTCCATTTCCTTTATGAGCAAACGTTTCAGTTTTTAAATTTTGCACATCATATTAACCAGCTATATTTTGAAAGAACAACTAGCTTCTGAGAACTATCTTCTTTCTAAGGGATTACTTTGGGCATAACCTCACGTAATGAAATTTGGGCTTCGAAGCTGTCTCACCCTAGACAGCTTGCTCAGGGATGTTGGCAAGCAGAATTTCAATACAGCCTCTCTTTGGCACTTTCAATGGGCCAACACAGGCAGCTCTCCTACTCAAAATTCTGGCTGTTGTGACGACATGAGTTATTTACATTTATACAGTAATAAATAGAATGTAGACACATAAGTACATAGATGTAATATTTGTGTGTCCATTTTATATTTACATGGATATTTTAAATATATATCTCATAAAATATATATACCATTGCATACTCATAATGAACATACTGCATATCTATGCACAGAAATATATGTGCATACACTGTATGCAAAATGTATAAATGTATACATATATATCTCCCCAAAAAGAATTTCAGCTTTAAATTCTTACCAAGTTCAAGCCACTAGAAATAAGCATATCTGGAGTACGAGTATCTTCAGAATGAAAGGAAGAAAAGGTAAGCTTACTCAAAATTTTAAGTTTCACTTTGCTACTAACCATTTTCAGTAACTGCAAGGGTCTGAGCATCTCCACTCCCACAGGACACATCGATAACTTTGAGTCCTTTTAACCCCGTGACCAGCATTGGGATGGTCTGATCTTCACTGGAACCTGCAAAAACAAAGTAGTTCTATGAGAAGCAAAATCGAGAAGGCCTAGTATGTTCTTTTCTTTGTTTGTTTTTTTTTGTTTGTTTGCTTTTGGATGTTTTGTTACGTGGGTGTGGGGGCTGTTGGTATGTTTGTTTTTTTCAGATCTGAGCATCATGATTAAGTTTCCATATGGTTTCTTAGGTATCTAATAAGGATTTAGGTAAGTCATTCACTCTCGAGGAAAAAAGGCAGCGCAGAAAGAACCGTGTATTGCAGAATACACCATCTAAGGAGTCTTTCTGCTGCGCCTTTTGCAATCGGATATGTCTGTCACGTATTGGCCTCATAAGCCACCAACGTGCCTGTAGCAAATGTGGATAGAGCCTTCCCAAATCTTCGTTCGCGAAGCCTCGCCATGATGATGATGATGATGAGGTAAGTCATAGAAATTTAGTGGGTTTCAATTCATACAAAGCCCCCAAAGGTTCTCAAATCAGTCTCAGGTAAGTTAGATGAAAGATCATTTGACACAGGCACTAAACAATTCTTTAACAACTTATTTGAAGATATCAACTAATTTACCATGACCAAGTCTGCCATAGTTTCCTCGTCCCCATGTATACAGCTCTCCTTCAGCAGTTATGGCTGCACTATAGGTACTTCCACATGCAATATGAACAACATGTTTTCCAGCTTGCTTCCCAGATAGAGCAGATATCATCTTAGGTTCCTCCAGGGGGCTATTGAAAGAGAAGGTGACATATTTCCATAAAGGTGATCTGATGAGTAGTTAATAAAAAGTGTGGTGTACTTGTTAGAAACAATTGCCACAATTCTACCTGCAAGCCTTATTACTAGTCTGAAGTACCAAGACATAAACAGAGCTACAAGCCAAAATTAAGTTCAGATTGTTCGACAACATCCAAACTACTGAAGGAATGTCTAACAGCTGTGAATTTTGTTTCCAATTGAACTAATGCAATCCTTTCAAAAAATATTTCATCATTAAAAACATTATCTTTAATTACTGTATCTGAACAATTAGTTTCATGACACTGACAACCCTTGTGTAGTATCTCCCTTGCTTTATAGGGAATTCAGCATTGAGGGAAGACACTTAAAATCTCTAAAATTTATTGATGCACATCCCCTATACAATGCTGTTGCTGAAGACTGCTTCTACGCAAAAGCAGGACAGTAATGTCATTGTCTGACACATAAGAAAAATGGAATGATATACAACAAGACTGCATAGGAAATGACAATCCCACTCCAACACGTGAGTCAATGTTTCAGGGAAAAGATGCTGTGTACTCATAAAACCATTAACAAAAGGCCTAATAAAAGTACAAGCACTACTATACCCTCTGTCTACAAGTATTTCAGAAAGTAGCATTAATACAGAACCGGGAATACTACAGACAGAAAACATGTAGGGAGAATGCAACTTTTATTTGTTCATAAAACAAATGTCAAATGTTGAGAATGCTTATATACACAACAAAGTAATTTTTACTATGAATTCAAAACACTGGCAAATAAATGTTATGATTATTTTTAATACATACACTGTATCCCCATGACCTAGTCTTCCACCATCTCCACAACCCCAAGAGAAAACTTCACCATTTGCTGACAAAGCCAGATAGTGATGCCCATCTGAATGTGCTGCTATCTTCACAATATTCCTGGAAGCTAAACTCTGCACCAGCTGTGGTCCCTGTGAACCAAGCAAAAGAAATATGGTTACGAAAACTGCTGAAGATTTCCTTCACTTGCCTATATACAGAATAACTAGGTACAGTTTTCCTATGGCTTTATCAAAACTCTGAACTCAAATTAATGAGGTGACAATATAAAGAAAAAAAAAAGGTCAAATCTGACAAAAGCAATGCTTTGAAATTATTTTGTTCCCACTTTTATAATGTCTTCAGTACATATGAAAATGGTGTTTCTCTTAACGTTACAGGCTATCTTAGTGACAAATGCTTCTGTTACAGTATATTTTTGTTTGAGAAACTACTCACCTTGGGCACAGTAACATCACCAAAGTAAAATTCATTTCACATCTGCCACTTTCTGAAGTTGTTACCAAGGCCAGCATACCAATAAAAGCAACTATTGTATCCATAACCTCTAGCCTGATAGAAATTACAGAAACAGTATGGATTTCATCAAATCAATACAAGAGACAAAACACACTGTTTCTGAAAGTTCGAATACAACACCATAAAAGCTCACAAAAATCAGCATGTCTCCACCCTAGTCTTCCAAAAAACTGTAAATAGTTAAAGGAGCAGACTTATGCTATGAAGGAATACAGAAGAGAAGAAATTTTTAAAACCATGTAAAAAATTCTCACCAGAGTATCGCTGTTGTACGCTTGTGTATAAACTCTTCCATTTCTAGATAATATCAGAAAGCGTTTCTCTGCACAGGCAACCTGTACAACACCAAGGTTGGCCAGGCCTTCACACTGAATTGGACCACTCACATTAGCATAATATTTCCATCCTATTAATCCCCAAGCAATGACCTCTTGCAGCGATCCCTAGAAAATAAGAAATTCTCTAAGTACTAATTTTGAAGTACACAACTTAATAACATGCATAGAGAAGATTATTTTTTAAACCTAATTCAATCTGAGACAGTCATTCCTGCCAGTAGTCAGTAAAACCTACTTAATTAGAAGATGTCAAAAATAAAGACTTGCATGCATCATATTCAGTTCAGTCTGATACTGAATGAGCTATAAATATCTACAGAAACTGTTCAGAGATTTTTCAAGTTGGGAAGTTTAGCCTTTACTTTTTTCTTTATTTTTTTAATATGTCAGACCCCCAACATTTATAAACTCTGGTCTCGAGAATTTACTCTGATAAACACAGGGAACAGCCCAAAATATGGCAGAATTAGCCAGTGTGTGATAAGAAAGAATGGTTCACAAACCAAAAGTAAAATTTGTACTCTAAGGCTGACTGAAAAAGGGATGATGAAATAAAAAATACCCAAGTAAGACAGATTTCAGCAACTCTGAGTTATCCTGTGAAAATCAGAAATTTGAATAATCTTAGAAGTCGTTTTCCTTACGTTCTGAAAAATCAGTTATGTTTTCAGAGAAAAGATCTTACTAAATCTGACATTGCAAACAGTTACCTTATGAGATGTAGGAGAGCTACACTGAGGAGGCATACATGGGGTGGCTAAACGATCTAAATGGGCCATGATCACCACAGCTGTTTGTCTCAGATCAATCGCCAGCTCATTGTCCTGTGGCAAAGTCAGATACCTTAGAAAACTTTCATTTGGACTTAGAGGGTAAGTGAGGAGCTAGAAAAAAAAAAAGGCCAGTCAGAAGAATTCAAGGTGTATCTATGTCACTACACATACACAATATTACTTAGACACGATGAGTATCTGCACAAGTTTAAAAGGAAATGAATTAACTCTGTACATCCTTTTTTTTTACAGTAAAGAAAAATTCAAAACATGCATGTTCGGAAAATGGACTGTGAATATAATATAAAGTTTCAAGCATAATAAAATTGATTTACTATGTTTTATTAACCTCAGTAATTTGCACGAAGAGTCACAGTTCAAGTAACTTCAAACACAACTAAATAAAAACAATCTTAATAGCAGAGAAGTTACCTGGCCACATCTCAGATAATTATCACAACAGCATTAACTATGAAACATAACATTTACCTCTAACCATACTGTGATATTCTTCATCCTACCTAAAGAAACTCCAACGTACACATGAAAACCAAACAACAGTGGTGTATATACATCTTACACGGAAAACACCACCACCCGTTTTGCTTGGATAATTTTATAATCATTTTAGCCAGGCAAGTGAAATTTGATTCCAACATAATTAATATCCCCTTCAAATAACCCAAGGATAAGTACCTGAATCTCTTCCTCTGTATTGGGCATGTCTTTGTTACATATTATACTCTGAAATCTTTGTAGCAAAGGTAGAAGGGGTGCACTTGTTCCCTGCGCAGATCGCTCATTATCTGTTTCCCTTGCTCCATTATCCCAAAGTTGAAGCAACAACATCACTGCAGACAACATTTGGCTGAAAAAGGGAGTTAACACCATCTATTAATACGTATTCCTAAAAACATTGGTTTAGGTTATCCATATAATTCACTTTCTACAATTAAAAGTTTTGCAATATCAGACGTCAGTGCTTACCATTTTAAACAGATTATCAGAATATGAAAAACTGATTTTGCAATCTAGAGAATGTTAGATCTCAATCACCACTGCGTTACAGAAAAGGTTCATATGCTTTGAACCACAAGTATTACATTAAACCCAAACCCATTAAATGGAAGACAGGCACTGCTCAGGCCATTCCAACAGACAATGATGGTTAAAAATTAAGAGTGCTCCTGCTTCTCACCTTAGTGTACCCCTCTGCACTGCCAGTTCAAGCAATATGGCAAGTGCCAAGTGCTGGTCTTGTAAAGGAATGTTTCCTGGCCCTTTGGTACTGGGAGCTCCATGCACATCTCTATAAAGTCAAACAGTATACATTAAGTAATATGAGATAATATGTAATTGCTTACCAAAAGATCTACAACACCCCAAGAACCACTAAACTTACAGAAAACTATAAAACTGGTGATGAAAGCATCTGAGAAAAAAAGCCCAAACATTCCAAAGGAGATCAAGTTTTAGAGTGGCAGCTAGGCTTTAAAATTACCCCAAGCTTCAGTGTCTGTAGCTCTATTAAACATGTCGAGAACAGGAAAAACATTTTTCAAGGTGAAATTCAGGTATGTTTCATCATAGGTACTGTAAGGATGTAATTCCAGTATTCAAAAGACAAGTAATTTCTAGTAACTAATGTTAAAAGGTAACTCTAAGCTTTCTTAAATAAAAGGAAAAAGCAGTGGAGGGCTTCAAGTCCAATATGACTGTATTTTCCCTCATGCACACAAGTCTGCATTATTTTACTACACCTGAAAGGCATGATTAAGTGTGCACATATATAGTATTCCCGAAGCACCCCATGAGATATATTTACATTAGTGAAACACTATTCTTTGGATAAATCTACACGCAGTGATTCAGAATACTCAAATTCAGATTTTTCTTAAACAGCTAAAATAATTAAATCATATTTAAAAAGCATCATTCCAACAGTTCATTAATGTTTTGCTTGCCTGTATAACAACATCAGAAAAGGAATGCAATCTTTATAGTTTTCCATAAGCTACTATCTTTATACCACCAGCTACTAAGAGATGCAAATTTGCTGTTTAACAGCTACTCCAGCAGTGCTCAAGAAAAGAAACTTACCCAGTCACAACAGACCTTAGGAATTTAGTAGCTCTTTCTACCACTTCCAGCCATACAGAAGATACAGTCCCTTCATCAAAAAGGGACGCCTCCGGTAGAGCTCGCAGCGCATCAAGTGATTCCTGTAACAATTCACTGCACAGGTCTGCATCTTCACCTAAGGAACACAGCAAAAATGGTTACATTCCCATCTTCAAATTGCTGTACACGATATTTTGTGGGTTTTTTTTTTTCAACCACGAGATTACAAGTTATTTAACATATACAAAGTTATATACAATCTTTCATGTGAAAGATTTTCACATGAACATTTTAACTGCAAGATCTTGAAGAAATTTTCACCAAAAAAACATTCAGTAAGATAACTCTTAAACCAACTCATCCCACTATGTACCCACTGAGGAAATCAGAGGAAGAACTAGGGCTGGCTGGGCAAAGATTAAGCCAACCACCTGCCATCTGAACAAACACTGCAGACTGAGACAAACAGGCAGGTTAAAGTGGCACAGGTGACAATTCTGTCAACCTCTGCAATTTGACAATCGCTGACAAGCACACAAACTAAACACAAGTTTCATACTTCACACTCTTTTTAAGCTGCCACTATCATGTCGTAATACAGTGGATTGACCCTGCCTGAAGAATAAATCTAACTTTTCTGAAATCTGGCACTAAAAATACATTCCCCTTCATGAAATCCCAATTTGCTCTCATAAGTATAAAATATCCCAGCACAACACAGCATTGGTACAGGCCCGGATGACTTCGATCAGCAACAGCATTGTTGGGCATAGCACCACATGAACATAAATGCAATTATGCAAATCTTTCACTTATAAATGTATAGTTCGATGCAAATACTTAACACGCACAAATGCTTGAATGAGCAAACAAAAAATATATGCAACATGCTCAAGCCTAGACCTACCTGACCTCCAGGCTCTACGAAGGAAAGCGAATGCAAATGAAAGTGCTGCCCGGGATCCAACTCGTGCAAGTCCTTCTACACCTTTACCTACAGGTCTTGGGCTAAATAAAATTATATAAGCATTTTTTCAATATAATTTATATTATAATATATTTATGTTAGTAAAATTTTGTATAAAATATATTCAACAACTTTATAATTTAGCCATATGCATGCATATGTGATTACACAATTTTTATTTATAAATAATTGTAACTGTCTCGAGAATGAAGGTGAACAACATCAGAATATCAGGAGCCAACATTCAACTTCAACTGCTTCAAAGCACTAATTCAACGCCCAACATCAAAAAGTTCCACACAGAAAAAAATAAACCAGATTGGCATAATTGACTGCAATCAGAAAAATGCCCATAGTTACTGAGACTGAAATTCAAAACACACAGATGTAAGATACTTCATGTACTCATTATTTACTCATTAAGCTCATATTTTAATTTGGACTGCATAAACTAAGCTTACAGATTTTTATGAAACTTTAATTATTGATAATTAATTCCTCTCATTTTGACTTTCCTTTTTTTTCCATTCAGGTGTCAGTGTTACAAATCCCTCTTTGCAGGTTCTGTATCAGTGTGTGTATGGAAGAGAGACAGCTTCAACTTTTGTTAATATCCACTGGACTTACATACATTGCTGTTAACTTTTCTTTTCATGGAGACAATTGCATTAATTTAAGTACACTCCCTTCTGTACTTAACAACAGGAGATACCCTACAGCTTCCACTACTGAACCAACAATTCTATTTCCTTTTGATGTGAGATTACAAAGACAGTGAATTGCTTAGGACTCTTCCAAAAGAGAAAAAAATTATACTCTCATTTTTAGCAATCTGATAACTTAAACACATCAGTGTTCTTTTTAATCAGAACTGAAAAAAAAATTCTAGAGAACTCTATTTAGACAAATATATCATTGTCAGAACTCCAATCCCATAATAACTAGTCGTGATATCTACTTACACTCTCCCTTCATATCTGAAGCTAGAGATAATGTAACAAAAACTTTCCTAGCTGAATTGCTTGTTCTGTCAGAGAGCAATCTTGTTCAGCTACTGAACAGATCCTTTAATGCCCCATCTGAGAGATTTTTCTATTTTTAGGTCTAGATAGCTATCTAGTCATGGAAAGTAATCAGACAATTTCTTATTCCATTACTTCTCTTGAAATTGTTGCATATAAAATGTATAATTACATCATTTTTCAACCACACTACAGAAAATCATGTTCAGCTTTTATATATTTGCATTTTTAAATTTACGCGCCTTAACTGAGCAAATATTGACAAAAACATACCAGCATTATTCAAACTATGTAACTTCCATCAGCACCATTTCTGAAACACACTTCTTCACACTTTCTAGCTGAGTAGAACAAAAGGAATACTTCCATAAAAGTATGCATATAGCTAAAAGAATAGTATCTACAGAAATGTATTACAATCAAAACCTACCAGTACAGAGACACTATAAGAAAGCATCAGGCAAGAAAGAAAACTGCATGGCAGATAACACCACTTTTTACTTAATATGGTAAAACCATCTCAAGAAATAAGTTTCTTTACTGCTAATGTCTCTCAAGGAGGAATACATCACATCAAGTGCTGACACACAGGTTGATAACCTTGCTGTGAGTTTTCTAATGTATTAACTTGTTCGTGCATTACCTTTTCTTATCCATAGCAGGCAGAGAAACACTATTGCTTTTCCACTTTACTTTGACATTCTCCTGAAGAACTGTTCTGTTCAAAGCAATGAAATATCGTTCCAGGATAACTAGCCGCTGTTTTAGCCTCATAGCTGATAGGGCTGTTGTAGCAGTTTGTGTGGCCAGACTTTGCTGTTCCTTCACTAGTACATGAAGGCACTCCTTCAATTCATTCACATCTGAGAATCAGAGAAAGATATTCTTTTATGGCTGTTCATCTTTGTTACATACAGTATCAAGAAAAATCAAGACAAATTGAAAACTGGAAACCAACCAGGAGTCTGAACTTCAAAACCCAGTGAAACTCCCTGTTCCCATACATAATGTGCACATTTCTAATCCACAGGATGATATAATCACAATCACACTTAAACAGGTGTTTCAAAGGTTATTATCAAAACTGGTTTTGTATACATATCTAGCCCTTCATATTTCACGTCTGAAATTAAAATATCACAGGAAATATTTATGCATTTCAAAAAAACAAGTTAGACAGCAAATTCTTATCAGCATCCAACCTCAGTCAGACTTCTGAGTGCAGGCAAGTCCCCTGCATGTCCCCACAAGGATATGCTTTCATTTTGCAGCTATACTCATTAAGTTTCTCAAAAGTTATAAAACTACTCTCAGAAGCGCTAGGATCACTGCCAAGAGCTGCTACACTTCTGAAACAAATAATGTCAAAAATTTAAGATGCTTGCAAGTACTATTAGCAAATAAAAGATCTGACTTAGGCACCAATGTTAGAGAATTAATTGTTCACTAATCAGAGAAAGTACTCAACAGCCCAAAGTCCTAGTAATATAATAACTGATGACAAGAAGTACAGTGTCAACAATAACAAAACCACTTTAAAATAGAGATTTGGAAACTATTTTTATATTCTCTGTAGCTTTAATTCACAGGATAAATATCAATGAAGTGCATTCTTAGAGGGGTTCTTTTCTGTCCTGTCATTAACAGTCTGATCACTGGGCGACTCCACTCTGCTTTGCGCTGAATTACTGCACTTGTCCCTAAGCCAACCACATTTGTTGCCTGGCTGCTCCACAGAAGTACCTTTGTTTTAACTGACACCTGACTAAGGGGTATGGGAAAAAAAAACCCATATGTCTGCATATATGTAACAGGGCTTATGAGAAGATGGACAAACTTTAAAAAAAAAATAACAACCACAAAACCATACAAACCCAACATATTTTTTGGAACAGCTGCCTCCAAGCTATATACATTTATGGTAGTCTTTAGAGTTGAAAATTTTATCTAATGAGGCATAACTTTTTTTGCAGCTGTAATTGCATAAACTATTTCAATGTTTGTCCCCACTCTGCAACACATCATTGTGTACCCAGCAGAGAATTCAAGCAGCCTTTTCTGCCACGGGATCACATTGCACAGTCACTTATGGTTTGCCGTCAGCCTGTTTTCAACATTGCTACTCACATTTCACCATTTCATAATGTGTTAGATTCCTTTCCCTGAGGCAATTCACATCTTTCCACCTGACTATGAGGAATAACTTATTTTTTCACCAAGCAAGAAGAGATTAAAATGTGTCCCTTGCAGTCTAGACCTCACAGACAAAAGCAATTGCAGCAATTATACACATTGACTCAAACAACAAGAAATACAACAAAATGAACAAATTTGACAAAAAGTCACACTGTATTAGTGTGGTATCAGCTCTACTAAATCTCCCAAGAACTCTGTGGCACAGGTGAATATCAGGAAGTTATGTACATAAGGCTCCTCCAGATCACAGTGTAAAGTAACACATAAATACAATAGATGCCTGTCAAAAGCATGTTTGATTTCTTTGGTTTGGCTTTTATACTGTCCCTTAACATTATGGCCATACAGAAGTTAACTCAACAGCTTTAATAGATGACTATCAGTACCTAGCCTGAAGCTTCTGTATACCTCCAGGCTTATGTAACAAATTTTGTTTCATTTAATACAATTTTGAGGGAAAAAAATCTCAGTTGCAGTGTTAGCATTACTTAGAATAGCAAAGCAAAACATTCCACAAAATATAAACTATACGTTCTGAGACTGCTGCTGTTACCGTAGGTGTGCCTTAACTTTTATTTTGTAAGCAAAAAAACCCCATTTTGCAGTATATACTTCAGGAAGCATGGTCAATACTGATAAGTAAACCATAGGAAGACATAAAAATCTGAGCTTTTTCCTTCTCTTTCTGAACACTAAAGTCCTACCTACCTCTAAATACCACCAGTCTATAAGAACAACGGATGAAATGACCATGCTCTCTGCTTCACAAAGAGACTTTGCTTAACATCACCAAATCACAAGGATCACTGAGTCCAGCTCTAAGTGAATGACTCCTAAGCATTACTTAGCATTACTAGTACTAGGCTCTAACCAACTGAGTGTTGGTTTTGGCAAATAATTTTATCCTGCCAATTCATTCCCCATATTATGGTCTCTTGTCTCTATAGGAAAAGTAAAGAAATAGTCAATGAAGAAAAAACAAGGGACTTTAACATTTATGTTTGGGGAAGAGAGTCTATGTATGGTGCTACAGAAAACAAGCACTAGGTGCTAGACACAGCAGCCTGCCAAGTAATACAGAGATACAGCATTCATCCTTCCTTCCTGACTAGCAAGTTATCCAACTGTGGACACCCTCTAAAATTATTTCTGAGAGTTGAAGACTTAGAGGAAAAAGGCCTTCATTTCAAAATAACATGCTTATTAAACATATGTCATGATGACTACTGAAAAGAAACACTTGGGACAGGCAGAGACCACCTACAATCCTCCAGCAATTATTTTATGAGGAATTTTTCCTCAAAGTTTACAACTGCATACCTTTCACACCACTTTCAATCAGCCACAGTGATGTCCAGGTGTTAGAAAGATAAATTACTTGTTATTAAAACTGCCTTGTTAAGGTTTAGGGCTTGGCATGCTTCAACGATCTCAGACAGAGAGGGAGGTTAATAAAGCCTGGCGAGAAAGATGTGCCACTGAGAGTAGACAAAAAGAATGCAGAATTTACAAGCCATGGGGACATGGGGCAGAACTCCCACGATAAGGAAGAAACTAAAAAGCTAACTCAGCAACTGTGCTGAAATCAACTCCAACTAGATAAAAGATAATTCTGGCAAGGGGAGATTGTGACCACCAACTCACGACCCACTGATTCAAGAAACCCATTGACTCAAAAGAAGAGAAAGACCAAGCATGCAGACTAACTAGCATGAGAAATGAGAGAAACATTTAACAAATAGAAGGTAGAACACTAATTAATAAGAGAACTATGTAACTTGTAGCCAGCGAACCGTGATTTCTGTTTGCCAAAACATACAGATGGCGTAAAGTTTTGATGACTGGGGAGCCAGCTTTTTATGGGTTACCACTCAGCTCCCTACTTTGTGCAAACTAGAATAAAGAAATAGGAACACCTTGTCTTGGTGCTTAAACTGGTGCTGTGCCTTGGGCAGCGAGCTCACATTCGGGGCAATAGCCCTGCCATTATCAGCATCCCAGCCGTGCCGATGCAGTAGGTGACACAATCTACTGTATGAACTCTGAATGAACAGAAACAGAATCCTACACTGCATACCATGTATGCACATCAAGCAGTACCAGTCACAGAGCTGGGCCATTGTATACACACATGGTCCTGTGTGTCTGCAGAAAAAGTTTCATAGCAGCACCTACTGAATTAATTCCTAATGGTTCAGTAATACATACTAAAGGTAACCTGTAAGATGCCCAACATCCTACTCAGTGATCTGACAGAACAGCTGGCTCATTTGAAAAAAAAAAAAAAAAAAAAAAAAAAGACAACATTACTGTAGGTTTTTAATACCTCAAAGGTTTAGTTCTGGTTTAATACAAAAACAGTCCATGGTTCCACAGACTTTGCAATGTCTCACAGAAAAAAAACCTCACAACAGCATTTCCTAAAGTTAAGGGATTTAAAAAGCAAGTTATTTTGCTTTCTTGTCAGTGAAGTCAATGTTCACAAATTAAGTCAAATGAAGACAATACAAAAGCTAGGAATCAACTAAAATTCTGTCTTGACTTTTTATGAAGAAAAAAGGGCTGGAAAAAAATTCATTTTTCAAGTGATTAGCCCTAAACCCCACAAGGTCTTTGCATTCAGAAACTAGCAATATGAAGAACTGTTCAGTTACAATACACTATTTTTCAAATACTGAAACATTGCATGAAAATTTTCTTAATGGAAAATATCATTTAGCCTCACCAAGATACAAGCCATATAAAAATAATCTGCATAAAGAATAAATTTAAGTTTACTGAATTTAGCTGTAATTAAATTATTTTCTTTACCCCTTCTTGCTTTGCCTTCAAAATCTCAAATGGCTACAATTTTAGGAAGGCTTTCTACTAGAAGTAAATAACTCTACTCTTAAATACTTTATACAAACTCCTTTAGTATTTCAAGAATGTAAAATAAAGTTCATATACAAAGTGTAGTAAAGGCTGGAACAGGTCACAGTAGTTCTGTAACTCAGATAGTTAGGACTTGAACAAAGGACTGCCTTGTTTTATTAAAAGTAATGCTATTTTTAAGTGAGATATATCTATATACTTCCTCGCTTTAAATTTTCTCGTGTCATAAGTAAATTTATCTTTACAAAAAATTCCGTTCATCTTTAGAAAGATTTAAATATATCTGAGAATCAACCCAGTGAAACTCATTTCAATAAACCCTCAAGTCTAAGCAACACTTATTACCAATGAACTAAACAGTCTAGTGAGAGAATAGCTTATTAATAGTAACGATTCAAGTTTCATCTGAGAAGGTTACAGGGAACTCTTTAAACAAAACTGTTCATATGTCACTACACCAGCCCTTGATGTTAACCATCCCTTGCAATGCTATGCTTTGCCAGTTATTCTATGAGGGTGGAGACACATTATTTACCATACCAGTATAAATTCTCACAGTCATACCATACCAGTATAAATTCTCAAGTCACCATTAGCAGAATACTTGTTAATTGACAACTATAGTTAGAGATGTTGCTAGCTGCAGTAGAGACAGGTAAGGGCTTTACCACCTTCTGTTAAAATTTATCACATCTCTCTCCCCTCAACAGTTAACGTAATCACGTCTGCACTTCTTAATTCTTCCTGCCCAAAGTTCTCTGCATTAGAAGGAAAAAACAGTGGAATTGTCTAA